ATTATTATTATTATTATTATTATAATTATTATTATTAATATTATTATTATTATTATTATTATTATTATTATTATTATTATTATTATTATTAAGAGGTAAAGTAGTAGTCGTAGGAGTAAGAGTAGTGGGAATAGTAGTAATTGGGGTATTAGTATTAGTAGTAGGAGTCTCAGTATTAGTCGTAACATTATGATTAATATTATCATTATAATCATTGGTATTATCATTATTAGCAGTAACATTATTCATAAGGATATTATTATTATTGTTAAAGTAGTAGTATTAGTAGTAACATTATTAATGATGATATTATTGTTATAGTAGTTGCAGCAATAGTACACTAGTGTTAATAATAGTAGTTGTAATGGTTGTAATCTAAATATGTTATCGAGAATAGCATTATGCGATACGAAACCTAACCTCCTAACTTAACCTAACCTAAATTATCCTCTCCTATCTTAACCTAATCTATATTAACTAACTCTATCCTAACTTTAACTTAAGTGGTGTTGGCAGCAGATATTTAACTTCGAGTCCAGCACTTAAATGATCTGTTAGTACAAACATTAACTTATAAAACATTAATACAACAAATTGAGTATAAATAAATTATTACGTCAAGAAAATACTGAAACAATACTTAATATAACTCGTATCTTTATGATTACTGAATAAACTTGATATCTGTAGCGGTAATTCAAGTTTAATTTAGATAGCTGCTGACGGGGATGGTGGTGGCTGACGGGGGTGGTGGTGGCTGACGTGGGTGGTGGTGGCTGACGGGGTTGGTGGTGGCTGACGTGGGTGGTGGTGGCTGACGGGGTGGTGGTGGCTGACGGGTGGTGGTGGCTGACGTGGGTGGTGGTGGCTGACGGGGTGGTACACGATGACGGGGTGGTGGTGGCTGACGGGAGTGGTGGTGGCTGACGTGGTGGTGGTGGCTGACGGGGTGGTACACGATGACGGGGTGGTGGTGGCTGACGGGAGTGGTGGTGGCTGACAGGGTTGGTGGTGGCTGATGGGGTGGTGGTGGCTGACGGGGTGGTGGTGGCTGACGTGGGGGGCTGACGGGGTGGTGGTGGGTGTGGTGGCTGACGGGTGGTGGGTGGTGGTACACGATGACGGGGGTGGTGGTGACGGGAGTGGTGGTGGCTGATGGGTTGGTGGTGGCTGACGGGGTGGTGGTGGTTGACAGGGGTGGTACACGATGACAGGGGGTGGTGATGGCTGACGGGGGTAGTGGTGGCTAACGGTTGGCGGCTGCCAGAGGTGGAGAATGACGAGGGTGGTGGTGGTGCCGGCCGATGGAGAGTGATGGTGGCTGACGAGTGGTTTGGCTGATGGCAGTAGTGGTGGCTAACGGGATAGTGGTGGCTCACGAGGGTGGTGATGGCTGACGGGTGGTGGTGGCTGGGGAGTGTAGTGTTAGCTGACAGGGATGGTGTTGGCTGACGGGGGTGGTGGTGGCTGACTGGGGTGGTGTTGGCTGACGGGGTTGGTGTTGGCTGACGGGGGTGGTGGTGGCTGACAGGGGTGGTGGTGGCTGACGGGGGTGGCGTTGGCTGACGGGGATGTACCCCACAAAATATTTTGATAATATTTCTTAAGAATATCAATCTGTGTGAGGCTGAGACACCGGTAACACGACAGGTCCGTTCTCCAAGATAAGGTTACCGTATAGGTGGCATGAGGCGCATGTCCGACTCTCCCTCACGGTGGTGTAATGAACGCCTCCAGTGTGTGTAAATAGAGTGTGACGCATTGCCTGGGTCTTAGTGGATGTGTAGCAGTGAAGTGGTGAGCTTCCCACACTCCAGCTGCTGTAGGTGAGTGGTGGTGGTGGTGAATGTAGTAGTACTGGTGGTGGTGAATGTAGTAGTAATGGTTCCGGTGAATGTGGTAGTACTGGTGGTGGTGAATGTAGTAGTACTGGTGGTTGTGGTGGTGGTTGTGATTGTAACAATGACCAAAAATTATGATAAACAAAGCTTTAATTCTTATGATGATTGTGCACTATACAGTAAGTGAAGCCTTATAATTATTATTATAATTATTATTATTTTTACTGATTTTGTCGCTGGTGTTACCAAGTTCAAGGAGTGACCAGACTGCTACCAAGGTAGATCAGAGTGACCACAGTGTTACCAGGTAGGAGAGATGGCTCTGCCCCTGAGGAAAGTACTTGAGGATCCGGACGTGGTGCGTGGACTCCAGGAGAACCCCGGCACCTACAGGTAACAGGGTGGACCAGGGGTGCAAACTAACGTCCCTCGAGATGGAAGGTGAACGCTGTATCCACTCACCCACTGCGCACCGTCTATAATAATCCTATTACCATTATCATTTATATCATAGCATTTTTATAATTCTTATGACATGCTGCACAGATTACCATTATTATGATCATTTATGATAACAATTTTATGCTACGCTACATAGGTTATCTTTGTCAATATCATAGTCATTGAATCTATGATTATCATTTTAGTCATTATTACGTCACACTCACAGATTTAAGAATGGAGCCTTCTTGGAGGTGTCAGCGGTACACTGGCCTCCCCATATAGTGGTGGAGGAGGCTGTGGGCGGAGGGGGAGAGCTCACTCTGGGCGGACCCATGGCAGATGTCCTCACTACCCTCGCCGACTCCCTTAACTTTACGTAAGTTATGCATATTTTAACACTATTCATTCTTGTCATGCTCAGTATAACATAGGTCTCTCTCTCTCTCTCTCTCTCTCTCTCTCTCTCTCTCTCTTAATAGAAACATACACAAGATGATAATAATGGTCATCTTCTCACAGGTACAAGATTGTAGGCCCAGGTGACGGGGCATTTGGTGCCGAGCTGTCTAATGGTACTTGGTCTGGTATGGTCGGGCAGGTGAGCAGACAGGTAAGTGTTGGTGGTAGTACTTCCTAAGCTACACAAATGAACTTGAAATTCGCAATATCTGTATATATGAATGCACTTTCATTATTTTTCCTTCACTTAAGAAAAACTGGACACTGAGACACAAACAACAATAACATTGTCTTCCCCCACAGGAGGTGGACATCGCTCTGGGACCTTTTGGAATCTCCGAAGCCAGATTTAAGGTTGTCGATTATACTCGCGCGTTTTACTACGACGACCGTAGTATACTGGCGAGCAAGGGTCTGCCGGAGGTGGACCCCTGGGGGTTCCTGTACCCCTTCACGCCGCTGGTGTGGGCGGCGCTGGTGGCGGCGCTCCTGGTGGCCTGTCTGGCGGTGGTGGTCCTGGGCAGCAGACCCAAGACCTGGACTCACCTGTCATGGGCCTCACAGCTCCTCCTCCTACATGTCCGAATTGTCCTCCATCAGGGTATTTTGTGCCATATTGTAATTAATATAAAATATTTATTTCCCAGTAATGCTTTAAATCCTTAGATGTAATTTATATAACATATATTTTATTATCTTAACATAGCCATAATTTACTTAAATGGAGTTAAGACAGTGTGTTATCGAAGGAAAGATTTTATTCATTAGTAGTTTGTATTAACTCTATGACCGTCCCTATACAGTCTACAGATGAGCTCCACATTTCAAGACGGTAATTGGTATACGGAAACTGTCGCTCAGTCTTTAGTATCCCAGGAACACATGACACCTTCACCCGTCCCAGTGTCTTGGTCATTGTAGCGCCTCTTATACTGAACTTAAATAGGATGATATAACTTTCTATTTCATTACAACAATTTTAGTCATTTTAACATTTGTCGGTTGTGCTTAAATCTTCCTGAGTACTTTAATTCTTGATTCAAATTACTCTGAAGACGTACAGTTTACTGATAGAGGAGTCAACAGCTATTAGTGTTAACAAATATCTTGGAATAGCAGTAATATACTATGGCGAAGTGAAGGAAAAATAGTTTCTAATTGGCAGGTTAGTTGTGCGTAAAAATATGCGTATGTCATTTATTTCAATAGTGTCCTTATAAAAATTATTTTCTAATGTATTAATATTTCCATTTAGGTGATGTATGTAGGATTACCTGTGTTCTCTCTTTTTCGAATACTTGTGTTATTATTTTTTTTATGTAACCTATTTATAAAGTAATAATTCAAAGCAAATATATTTTTGGGGTTGATGTATAGGAGTTAGTTTTTCATCTTACATTATTTTCATGGGTGAGTTCTGATATGATAATCGTTTATTGTGGAAATTGTTCGTTTCATAGATAATTCAGCGAATAGGCGTGCACTAATTTGTTTTGCGGGCCGTAGTAAGTCCTCGCTTAGCTGAGGCTCTTTTACCGCGCCCGGGGCAGTTGTTTTTCAGCATGTCGTGTGAAGGTTGTCGCCTGACTTACATGTACATAATTGGCGAATTTAGGAATAAAGACAACGAGATCCATTCAATTGTTCAAAGACCACGGCATTGTTCCTTTAAATAGAGACTGTCCACACCGCGGGAATTCTTTTGCCTTCAGACTGTAAAGAAATTTATTCATTACTTCCTTAACGCCGTGGCTGGACGTTTCCCGCCATCAAAATAAATCACTCCACCGCCGGGGCTGCATAGTGAGGATGCGGCCTTATCATCTCACATCCAGAAAATGCCTCAAATTTCACCATATAGTAATTTCACGCAAGAAAATTAGGTAAAGTTAGGTAGGTTTGCATGGTTAGGTTGGTTAGGTCTGTTTTTCATACCCACAAAAGTTATGTAAAGTTTATTTGAAAAATATTAAATTTTTAACATATTTCCACAAACTACAACAATATCCACTGTAATCAATTTCGCTCGTGTTTTAGTCCTATATAATTACCATTTGTTGTAGTAACATAAAAAAAAATCAGAGGGTTTGGTCCTCAGTCACACCGTTTTGGGGGAACTAGTCTGGCAGGAACTTACATTTCCATTCTTGTCATTGCTGTCGCCTTATATTACAGCTCTACAAGTACCACGGTTACAGGACACACGTATATAAGGTTCCTCACCCACAACACACATCTCTTATATTATGAGTATCTGTTTGAATGTTTCCAGATCTGTCGATGAAGACAAGCAGTGGGCGGGAGAGGCTGGTGGTGGGCGGGTGGATGGTGGTGGCTATGATGTTGATGTGGAGTTACAGTGGTACTCTCATCTCCCTCCTGGCGGTGCGTCACGTGCCTCAGCCCCTACAATCTATCAGGGACGTTGTCGACGACTCGGCCGTCACCGTCATCACGAAACCCGACACCATCTTCACAGACATCATATCAGTGAGTGCCTGCCAAGTACCTGGTAGAGCCCAACCATGAATTTGAATTTTACTACGTACATCGGCTAGTTTATTGCGCACCATATAGTCATCCTGTGAGCGGTAGCACAAAAGGATTACAAAGTAGAGGTCACAAGTGGTGTGTCTAACAAACCCCAGTGGTCAGGATATTATATCATTGACTGTTACAGAGTATTACATATACATTGTTTGTTTAGTTCTGTACATAGAGGGTGACTTATTAACAACTGCGTGAGTACAGCAGTGTGAGGCAGTATCTGGCCGTACACTGTTATTCACATCTGTGTATAATTCTGAAGGCTGTATTTTGCATTTTTGTTCGGGCCTTTTAATATCTTTACCGCCACGAAGGTCCAGGGCTGGTGCGTGGTCCATCAAAGATCTATTATATAGCCTGGGTACTTTGTTTTAACAATTCTAATATTAGCACCATAATGTAGGTTGTACGCCGTTACACTTCTAAAAGGTTTCAGTCTGTCATTGGCGGGTCAGCTGTTGTATGGCAGGTACAGTTACTCATAAAAGTTCGTGGGGGTCCGTGTGTGTGTGCGCCAGTCCAGTCCCCACCTCTTTCTGGACGGCGAGTCTGTGTATAGCGATGTGACAACGCGCGCACACACACACACAAGGCAGAACTGTGTCTCTTATGTAATCAGGTCAGACAGGATTATGTTTGTCAATCAGTTAGCCATAATCAGGTTACACATTCAGTGTTCTATGATAAGATATGAAGGTTAGAGCCCCTTTGATTTCTAAGCAGTAATTAAGCAGCAGAGATGACGGTAGTGCAGGTCGAGGTGCATTCCAATCCGTTCGAAAACTTGCTTCGTATCCACGTGAATAATATTGTTAACCGTTAAGAGTTCAACTCAGGCAGTATCTACCATTAACGGAGTATAATTTATCTTCTTCTTATATTCCTCTATATATCCAACACAAACCCATTCTGAATAATAGGTAATAAAACATTCGAAGTAGACGAAGACTCGAAACAATGAGCAGTGAAGCGGTTGGCCAACGTCGTAATTGAACAGTCCCGAGTCTAAGGCAACAGTCTACTGGAGCAAACACACCGAGCCATTTATAGAGAGTAATCGGTCGAATTAAAAGAACGGAACTGTGAAAGTTTCGTATGCTTAACATATATAACATAACATTGTCATCTTTATTAATATAAGAATTTTACCTCAATTAGTATAGCAGAGCGGCAGCTAAACACTTCACCCCTCTCGTCTAGTCTCCACCTGGCAAGACCTCCTCTTTACCCCCTCCTCCTCCACTCCCGCTCTATGGTATTGCTTCGTCTTCACATATCGAAGCGTCTTATGGTTCAGGTAACAGAGGACTGTGGTCATATTGCCCACGACAATTTTAACCTTCATATGCTGTAACACAAATGGAAATGTGTAAACATTATATGACATAAACCAATATTTGCGTGGACAAATATTCCTGTCAAAAAAAGGTCTTAATTGAACACAGTTACAACAGTTTCACCATTTATGTTCGTGTGTGCATTGTCCCGTGCCCAGAGACCTGTCGTCCAGAAAAGGGTGAAGATGGGATTCACCCACACACACGGAGACCCCCACGAACTTTTATGAGTGACTGTACAAGGGACGGAAACACCAAGATATTTAAAAGAAGAAACATAGACAATAGTGTTGTTACCTATCTTAAACAAGGCGGGTACACATTTACCATTACCACCTTCATTGTTGAACACTTTAGGTTCTTGCAGACTGCGTGTACGTGGTTCAGGGTGGCTTGCATTTCACGATGAGATTTAGTATGTACAAGAATATCAGCATATCTGAATATGATACTGCTGGGAACTGCCTGGAAGTGACTTTGATAATGCATTCATAAGAACAGTGAACAAAGTTGTAAAAAATCTCGTCTACTGAAGTAAATGAGCTTAATAATAAGAAGACCTCTTACTAAATATTCGCAGAAAATTAAATCCGGTGATCTGAAGGACCTGAATGACCTGAAGTACGTAGGCCGTGTGCTGTACCAGCTGGCCAAGGACAACGACCAGTCCATGAACACACTCGTGCGTCACCAGCGTCACGTCATCATCGGCCCCACCCTCTCGGCCGACCTCCTCATCGCTAACCTCTTCGCCAAAACAGGTACTTGGATACACATGTTCCAGTTTCACAGAATATACTCTTCTCTCTGTATACTAGAGCACCAGCTTATCTGTGATCTTGCCTAAACTGATTCAGAGAGCTGTGGTGTCTTTTGGGAATCTGTTACTCTCTCTCCTCCTCTGAAATGCCTATCTTTTTTCAGAGACCTGTTCCCTTCATGGGATGTAACTCTGCCTTCTGGAGTTTGTGGTAAAATCGTGTGTGAAACGATGAGTCTAAATCAGTAATCCAGTGCTGACTCCCGTCTTCCCTTCACACCAAAACACTTGCCCATTGATCTGTTTCTCACTCTTCCATCGTAGTTTAATGTTCAATTTGTTCATAATATTTTATTATTACTTTAGTGATCCATCCCAGATCTATTAGTTGCTCACTCAACCATATACTATTTGAACACCACAAAATAAGATCTTCCTCTGCGGTGTGTTGATCTCTACACTTCTCAGCTGTTCTCTTCCCTGTGTCTCTCTTACATACACCCACAACCACATTAGTGTAAACAGTCGACTAGTAACATTCTTCTAGTCATCTTCATTTCAGCAAAGACAACAATAAGATGAAGATTACTTTGTTCATGTGTTTGCTTCTGTATTTGTCTTCTCCATGATGCTCCATTAGCAGAAAATCGGATTAGATGAAGATTAGACACCCCAGCTAATCTCACCTAATAATGAAACACTCTAATGCTAACTTAATCTAACCATACTTAACCTAACCTAACCCTTCATGTTGTTATTAGTGTTTAATCATCAGCTGAAATAAACTGGGGTGTCTTAATGTTATCCGAAAAAGATCCTTATAAATTATTATCAATAAATGGCTGTGGGTTTTAGTTATAACAACACTGGTATTTGCTGGTTGTTGCAGGAAAGTGTGACTTCTACAAGGCCCGTCAGACATTTTTCACCACCCACCACTGCATGATCGGCCAGAAAGGGAACCCGATCGTACCAGCCATGAGCCACAGGTGAGCAACACACGACCTTGTTTATAAAATCCTCAACCATCATCTGGTCCTGCCTCTGAGCCTGGCATGTTGTTAGGTTAGGTTACCTTTAGGTTTGGTTAGGTCACCTTTAGGTTAGGTTAAGTTACCTTTAAGGTGTGGTTACGTTAGCTTTGTTAGGTTAAATTAAGCGAGCATTAGGCTGGTTTATATTACGATGAAATAACGTAGTCAGCTCTTAATATGTACTGAGCAGGTAATTCATAAATATTCCACTTGTGATAACTGTCTTTCTCATTGCTTATATAGTTGTTTACTTCTTTATACAGGGTTCATAAAGTATCTAATCCAACTTAAAATTTAATAACCATAAACACATTATATATACAGCTAAGGATTTTATTAGAATTAATGAACAACTCATAAGGTTTTATTTTTCTCAGACTTCCACATGTGTACTGTGTTCTCTCTGTAATATTTGTTGAGGTCATTATGTTTAAAATTGGGTCAGCTAACATATAGACACCCTGTATAGTGATTGTTTTCTGTAGGTTACGAGGACTGGTGGAGTCTGGGGTGTACGAACACTGGCTGTTTAATAGTATTCCCTTCATGACCAGCTGTCGCCTTTCACCCTCCAAGATCACAGTCAAGGAGGCTCTCACACTCAAGAGCCTCTGGGTGAGTACCTACCTTATCCTCACTCACTCACTCATTGAAATTTGTCATGGACATACACATGTATCCCTAAAATATCACTAAGGTAAAATTTTCGAGTGTTTAGCCCCAGTGGTCGGCCTCAACTCACAAAGGTGAAGCTTCCTTATTACAAACTCGTTCGTCTTTTCCCGTTTAATTACTTTACACGGCCACAGTTCTTAAGACAGAGCTCACATTTAGTTTGCTTATTTTTGCAAGTGTACTTAATTTTGTCTAAGGACGGACGTGGGCTATGAGATGCCTTGTTAACACTAGGACTAGGGGTTGGCCCCTGGGGGCCTACGGTCATTAATACTAGTGTGTGTGTGTGTGTGTGTGTTTGTGTGTGTGTGTGTGTGTGTGTGTGTGTGTGTGTGTGTGTGTGTGTGTGTGTGTGTGTGTGTGTGTGTGTGTTTTCTCCCCTCCTACATCTTAGCATAAAAGGGTAAAACTTACTACGGTTACGTAACTGAAGGTAGGTGTAATTGGGAGGGGGAGAAGCGGCGCCTGATGGAATTGTTTTGCTTAAGTTAACTTTACTTCAGCAAAGTAAATCCGGCCAGCCCCGGGTACTCCAGCTAGTAGTGATAATAAAGCACTAACACGTGTACTTCCTGCAGGGTACACTGGTGCTACTGGCAGCTGGTCTTCTTCTCGCCTTCGCCTCCTTCTGCCTTGAACTCTTTCTCGCCAACGACGTTTTTGTGTAATTTTCATCAAAAGTGCCTAGTGAGCGAGAGGTCATGAACGGTACCTTGGAAAACAGTAGCTAATGAACCGAGCCTCGCGAACGGTGGCTGGTGAACAGCGTGCAATGTCAAATGTATTCATTAAACTGGTATTGATTGCTACAATTATTATTATTATAATTATTATTATTATTATTATTATTATTATTATTATTATTATTATTATTATTATTATAATTATTATTATTATTATTATTATCAGTATTATTATTATTATTATTATTATTATTATTATTATTATTATTATTATTATTATTATTATTATTATTATTATTTATTATTTATTATTATTTATTATTAGTAGTATTAGTAGTAGTAGTAGTAGTATTAGTAGTAGTAGTAGTAGTATTTACAACAGATTGCCAAAATGAATGTTGCACAATTATTGCTAGCTGACAAAAAAATAGCTTAGCGCAGGAGGTGGGCGCCTCGCTGGTTAACTACGGTAAGGGCAAATGGTTTCAGGAATTTACAGATGCCATTGCTCTAAGGTACGGTTGGCCAGTAGATGGTTTGCCCTCCCAATGCGTGTGTCTATTCCTATGATGATCACGCCATGGTTTCTTCATATGCATGAGGCATGACGAGGTAAGGGATCTCACAGCAAATATGTTGAAGGAAACCTGCCGGGACGTCATGGTAGAACCGACCCTCCTTCCACTGGATGGCGAGATCCTCCAACACAGGACTTCAAACACATCTAACGAAGCCCGTGTGGACGTCAGTGCTCGAGGATTCTGGACGCGGGGACAGCGAGCCTTCTTCGACATCAGGATTTTTGATCCCATGGCCGTTTGTCACCGTAACCTAGCTCTCGATGCTGCACATAGGAGGAACGAGAACGACAAGAGAAGGGCATATGGGGAGAGAATTCAAAATGTCGATCAAGGCAGCTTCACTCCGCTAGTGTTCACAACCTCTGGTGGGATGGGCCCAAGCGCAAGATGTTTCTACGCCAGACTCGCGGAGCTGATCTCCGAACAGAAGCAGCAGCCCAGAAGTTATGTCACAGCCTGGATGAGATGTCGACTGTCCTTCTCTCTCCTTCGGTCGGCTTTGCTCTGCCTCAGGGGAACGAGAGCTTCTGCCCCTACTCCGTCAACTGCTGCAGATATCGACTATGAGGCTACAGTCACCGAATGCCGCATCGATCTGCGGCTCAACTAATTTAACACAGATAGGATAGTTGCTTATGTATTAGGATAGTTAATATTAAGGTAAATAAATGGTGGCGAAGGTGTGGCTATTGGGGGAGGCTGGAGGCCATAGTAGTAGTAGTAGTAGTAGTAGTAGTAGTAGTAGTAGTAGTAGTAGTATTTAGAGATTTTCTTTTTTATCACAGTAATTTTAACACTTTCATTATGGGAGCCCCACCTTTAATACGTAATTTGATTAACCCCAAACAATATTCTTCAGCACAGAGGGTGACCAGTACACAAGGGGTTAACTGTCCCTCGTGTACATCTGTTGACACTACTAAATTAAACTTAACATCTACTTTTTCTGATGAAACTTTCACTGTAATGTTAGCCTAACATAATGTCTTTAGTCTGTCTAATAATAAAAATATGCTATTTTTCGTTGTCTTGTCTAACCTAACCTAACCATCCTTAACCATTCTCACATAAGTCAAATATAATTTTCCTTCTCTAATTAACCTAACCTAAGCCACCCACACACCTGGTACTGTGATACTCAGGTGAGGTCCTCCTTCACCTACATTATGTATTGGAACACCTTCCAGACGACTCCCCTAGATGCTGTTAATACTTTACTCGGGAAACATTTCACTGATGTTGTTAGCATAGGCAACAACATCTTTACCTGTTAAAATAATTGTAGCACAGTTAAGATTTTGCTAAAGGGAAAATATTATGTTAACTTTTTATTGTGATCATATAAATGTAAGTTTCGGATAGAATTGTATTTAACAACTTCCAAACTGTAGGAGGTGACCCCGTGCCAGGCGACCTCGCTGGTTAGGAGTCTCTCAGCCGGGTCTCTTCACCAAGTTGTATTGTTTCATCGCACTGGATCTGTTGACTCTAAGTTATAATGTATTGTTTAAATCCCACATAAGTTTACGTTTTATGGAACTGTAGTCTAAATATTGGGCTCTAACTATACTGAAGTAACTTTACCTATCTTGTTAACAACTCAAAATTTATAATAAAATCATCACATCTAAAATTTTGCCATAAGAATAGACTTAGATTTGTTCTGTTTTTCGTTATATTTACCAAATAATATCTGGCTTTAAGACAATTTTCGGTCAGGTGGTTTTATATTATTATCAGCTGGGATAAGAGAGACATATCTCACCCCCTCGACAGATGGTGACCTTGATGACTTCTGTTTGTGGTATAACAAAAGTCAAAGTCAAAATATAACACCTCTGTATATGAACAGTACTCCTCCCGTACACTATATGACGGACCTGACCTTCAGTGTTGAAGTATCGGTTATTGCTGACCAAGTTCTATGAACAAAAGAGAAACATTAACCTCTATCATATAGTGTTGGGTGAAAATAACACACCTCTGTGGTCCAGGGAAACTCTCAGGTATAAACGCCATTACTGAATCCCCACATTCCGAAGCCTGAACCTCTTATGTTGGAAATAATGAACTAAGAACAATATCATAAACAATAGACAGGTCCTACACAGGCCCCTGTGGCTCAATCCCTTGGCATCTCGACCCTCCGAAATAAAGGCATTGGTTAACAGACCAGGATCATGTAGACACTTCATGCTAGTTTGGGCCGATAGTTGAACACGACATTAATATAATAACACTGAGAATACATCCAAGGGAACTATTCACTATACTGTGCAAATTGAGGCAGGACTGAGAAATACTAACTTATAACCATTAACAGTGATTATATTTACAGTAAAACAAGGGTATTATATTTACTGTAAAACAAGGGTATTATATTTACTGTTAAACAAGGGTATTATATTTACTGTAAAACAAGGGTATTATATTTACTGTTAAACAAGGGTATTATATTTACTGTAAAACATGGGTATTATATTTACTGTAAAACATGGGTATTATATTTACTGTTAAACAAGGGTATTATATTTACTGTTAAACAAGGGTATTATATTTACTGTAAAACAAGGGTATTATATTTACTGTAAAACATGGGTATTATATTTACTGTAAAACATGGGTATTATATTTACTGTAAAACATGGGTATTATGTATTCAGTAAAACAAGGATACGGACAGTGACACCGCATGGCCTTGTGGCCCAACTAATTTAGTAATTTATCAATTTTAATCTCATTATATGGCTCTTCCTCCATTCACAGAAGTATCACTTAGTATTCATCCCAAATGCTGGTGAGCAAATTAGTAACAAAACGTATGATATACAATTTATTCTTCGAAATTCAGTACTTATATCATCCACATGCATTTGTCGTAAAAAGTAAACAAGTATTATTCTAACTAATCAAAATATCACTGATTATCAGAAGAATCAGTATTCAGTGTCAAAGAAAGTGGGATTCTCTCCAACACTGTGGTGTGAGTTAAGTCCTGGTTTTCAGCATTATTTTTAGAGTATTTGTGCACAAAGGAAGTCAGTGGCTGAGGTAGAGAGATATAAGGATTGTTTTGAAGCTGTTGGACTGTTGTGAGGTTTTGGACTTAGGCGTATTTAGTAGATACATGTCGCTGGCACGAGATTCACCACTCTTAGCCAGGGAGGTGAGGAAATGGGGCATGCCCTAGAGATAACTTGGGAAAACTCATAGTTAGCTGATGTCATTCTGGCGTAATGGTCAGTGTTGCCATAACAGAGTCATGTGGTCTCTGGTGCTTCGATTGTACAAAAATCCACAACATACATATATCAAAAGATAAGCTGGATCTAATGGCGACCTTTCACACAAAGGCGAATGAGAAGGAAGTTAACATTACTAAGACAAGTGAAGAAAATGTGGAGAGAAAAATGGAGAAGCAAAGTGCTAAATAGACCTCAAGGGTTCACATGGACTACAACTATCTCATTTCCAGTATGCGAATCAACTACCACAATTTTGCCAATGATCACTAGCAAGCATAAATCACTTAAATAAAAGATAATTCATCAATTGAAAAGTCGAGGAGAGAAATTGCTCCTAATCCCCTGCCTAGTGGAGCAACAAGCAGTGGGGTGAATAGTGAAACCCCTGAAGACTGGCCTGCCCGAGGTCCACCGGGTAAGTTACCAAGTCTGCCCGGCATGGCGGCTCAATACAACCTGGTCTCTGCATCATTTGAGTACATATCGTGTAACAGCAGCTTATGCTCCGCGTGATATGTTAAGCTTGCTTAAGCCCTCCGCAAAAGACTCTATATACACCTCGTATATAAACACCTAGTATGTGCCGAACCCGACACTGGGAGAAATCAAGGCCTCATCACTGCAGTCTTCTGCTGTCTACATAACAAAAAACTGAGCAGATATCACCGACACAGTCGTCGCCAGTGAATAATTGGCGATCAGGTCCTGTGTTTTTCTTTTCTTTCATCTGCCTGATGACGGAAGCTACTTCATGACGGGCAAGCTCCGGTGCACTGGGCGGACCTTCTACGGAGTTAAGACATTCACATCGGTGTTAGGTTGTTTATAAGTCCTTCATCGAGCTGCTCCCTGAATGCGTGTTCAACCACTTGATCCTCCAGTCATTTGGTGGTTAGCTACTTTTGGAGGCTCGTTGCCTTCTCCGCTTTGAGGCGAAATGAAGGGGGGCATTTGCACTGATGAGCCAAGAAAAATATTCTCAGATTGGTCTAAGCCTCTCATGGTTCTTGTAAGGAAGACTTATCGTCGATCTCTTTCAATGTTTAAATATGGTGTTGGTCATATCTGTGTTCAGCACACTTACGGAGGAGTAAGCCATTGGGATTACAAGTGCCACTCCGTTTCTCCCTATGATTCCATGCCATAATTCAGTATCTCTGTATACTCTGGCAATGAAAAGTCGCCCTAGAGCACAACTTTATCTTCTCTGGAGATAAAGACTACCATTCTGATAAGGTCAGTGTGAAAAGCCTCCTTGATATCATGCTTTTGCATTTAGTGTTGGGGCTTGTACAAT